AACAGGATTCAAGCTTGCTCATCTCTTCTGCAAGTTTTTCTATTATTTAAATGGCAATCTCGGACAAAATCCTAGCCTCTCAAGGTGTTTGGTAGGAGACTCTCTGACCCTTCTCCTCATTATCATGATGTGAGTTGCCTATGTAGGCTCCTTTATGGTCTTCTTAGTTTTGGTAGAAGTTTTCAATGTTGTCGGAGACTACTGTCCATTAATCACTTGCTAATCGGGGATGTTACCATTCTTTTTTTTTTTACTCTCTTGTCAAGGAAAATATTGTCTATCTTTTCAACATTGTCGAGACTATTAAGGAGGCTTTGGGATTCAATATCAGTTATGGCAAATTGGAGTTAGTTGGCGTCAATTGTCAACCGGACAACTTGCCATTTATTTTGGTTGCAAATTAGGCACTTGGCACATCTTTTATTTAACGCTTCCTGCAATGGAACCCCTACATCTTTCTCGTTTTGGGCTCTTACTATTGAAATAATTGGCAACAAGCTTCCAAAAATGAGCCTTTCTCAACTCTAAAAGTGATTGCCCCACTCTCACTCAAGTGACCTTTTTTTTGATATCTCTATCTACTATATGTCTCTCTTTAGTTCTTCCTATGCTTTCCAAGGTGCTTAAGGCTATTGAAAAGCTTTTAAGAGACTTTCTTTGAAGGTGCCAAAAAAGATGGAGGTTGCCAGTTTATTAGTTGGGCAAAAGTTTAACTTCCCTATGCTTGAGGCAACTTGGTACCTTTAAAATTTTTGAAGGGGCTGTCTAGTTCTCAGATTAGGTTTATGTAATGTGTCCCCAAATCTTTGAAGAAAAAGGAAAAGAAAGGAAGATATGGTTTTGTGTTTCATTGTCTGATTTACATAATGGGCAGTGGAGAAATGACCCTCCAGGAACATCTTCTTTGCAAACGATTATGACCCATAGTCTCATTACTCATGCTCAAATACTTGAAAACATTTTTTGGGTGGAGTTACTTCCAAATAATATTGTAAAGCACATTGTTAATTTGTCTCAAGTCTCATCCCACGGAAAACTATGGGTCAAAGATTGAGAAGAGAAATACCTCCATTTTCAGGTTTCCAAATCCACAAATATGGTCTAATAGGTGGGAAGGATGATAGCAAAGAGGGTGGTGTTGCCCATTTCACAATTTCCACATCTTTGAGGTTTCTACGAAAACCCATCTTCCATGCACCATTTTGGTTAATCACAAATCTAATATAGATGCATTCTTTGAGCTAGATGACACAGATGGTAAAGGAAAGATGGTACAAAAGGTTTCTGTGCAATCTATAAGTCCTTCCAGAATAGAATTATATGGGTTCATTTCCCAACAGACAGAATGCTTGAGAGGACGATACAAAATTAGGTTTCTTTAACTTATTCCTTTGTACAACCCAAGCATAGACTATACAGAACTTGAGCTTTCCAGCGACCAACTTCATAAACTCAGACATGTTAAAATCATGAGCCAAACATTCCCAAAGAAGTTACTTTGTCCTTACGTACTGGCTTTGGAGATTTAACATTGAAAAAACTGCCATTTGGAGTCTAGAGGAAAGTTATTATTGCAAAATTTGGCTCCACCGAGTATGGTCTATGTGCACAGCCTCCTTGAGATTAGTTAGTGGGGTAAATCATGAGCATGTAGGGAAGGAGTGAAACCTTTTGATACCTTAATTATTATTTTTCTTTTAAAAAAAAGAGTCAAAGTCTTGTTTTGGCAACGCTACTAGTAGCTTGTGGATTGTGATTGGCCATGGCATCCTTCCAAGGCCTAACCTGAGGCTTTTTTCTCTCCATACTCGGATAGTGACCGTCATCAAGAATACCTCCTCTCAATATTAAAATCTCACTTTTAGAAGGAACCTCAACCAGAATGTGCTTCTCTCCAAGTTTGTTCTCTAACTTCTGCTTTGGCTCTCTTCTGGACAATTGGACTTGGTTGAATGTAATCATTAATCAGGGTTTTCTCTTCTAACTTCTATTTTTTGTCTTGATTGATAAAAGAACGCCTATGAGACTAACCTTCACAAAATTATTTGGCAATCCGAATATCTCAAGAAAGTCAAGTTCTTCCTTCGGAGCTTGCTCATGAGATTATTAGTACTCTCGATAAGCTTCAAAGAAGGCCTCCAAATTGTGCTCTCCCCAAGCTGATGCTCCTTGTGCAAGAAAGAGCTGAATCTCAAAGATATACTTCTCGTGCTTGTTGTTTTGTTGATAGTTTCTGGAGCTTTATCTTCTCTATCTTCAATTGGCAGTTTGGCTCATCCCTCAACATCAACTCCTCCTCTCCTTGATTTTTGAAAGCCATTCCTTCAAAAAAGAGAGGAAGGTACAATGTCTCAACGACAAACAAAAATCCAATAGCAACATGTTGGATTCTCTTATTTTGTGGTCACTTGATGTAAATTTTTTGTTCCTTTTAGCTCTTGCAATGTAAGTTCTCTTAGTTCCATTTGGGAGAGCGTTGTGTTGTACTTCTTTGGCCTACAGCTTCATATCCTCCCTCTCTTTTGTAATTTCAGTTATTCAATAAAGTTACTTTCTTATTTAAGAGAAAGAGAAAGAAAAGTGAAAAAGAAACCATAGGATCTTTGATTGGAGCATAGAGAAATATGGACCTTTTTGAGATCACTCGTCATATTTCTACCAGTTGGTTATTTTATAAATTAGGTTTGTAATATCTGCTTACTGATCAATCCATCTATCCTTTTCAGGATAAGAAGTCACTCAGCCTGGGGCCTGATGATAGTTTGCATCTTGAGGGCTTTGCATTGAATGTCTTTGCAAAAGCAGACAAACAAGATCATGCTGGACGAGCGGATTTGTATGGCAATGAATCAATGATCTTCTTTCATTTAGAAACATACATCAACTCTTGCAATTTTAGTTAGTTTTAAAGATTATAGTTATCTGCTTGTCTTGGGAAACTGCTCTTAAAAACTAGGATTGGATTAGATCAGATGACATTTTAGTGGTCTTTAGTACGTCTTTTAATGATTGATGTTATAGATTATTGTTCTGAAAAATAGAAAACTGTTTTGAATATGGTTTCCAAATAAGTCTTTTATTTTCTTGATTCCAAGCAGCTAGTTTTTTCTCACTTGTGGAATATGGTTGGTTACCTGCGTGTGTTATGTGCAGAACGTATGATTTACACCCAAGAATGAATTTTGGTTTTCAAAAGATTACCAAAATCTATTCAGGATGGTTTTTGTTTGATATTAAGCATCATTCATATTCTTCCGTAACTCCCTTTTATGGCTATATGAGATGTATGTTTAGATCATAACTTCCTTGAACTTTCTCACGTTCAATATCTTTGTGGAAGTGTCAAAATATGTCTTTCATATGATTTTCATTTAAGTGATGGCAGCTCTTTTCCATTACATTTGTATCCTTTTGCCATTATTTGGATATAGATTGAGAAATCATAGTTTTAGTGTCCGATTTTCTAATGGCTTTCAATATCCATAGGAACACTGCAAAAACATTTTATGCTGCAAGCATTTTCTTTGAGATTATTTCTCAGTTTGGTCCACTTCAACCAGACGTGAGTTTCTTTGCTGATTGACCGTGTTTTAATTATCTGAATTGTATCTATGCTTAGCTTTTTTCCTTCATTTATAGCTGGAGAAAAAACGGAAATATGCAGTCTGGAAAGCAGCAGATATCAGGAAGGCTTTGAAAGAGGGAAGGAAGCCACAGCCTGGTCCACCTTCCGGTGACGAAGATCTTTCTGTTCCTTCAAGTGCACCTACTACCACTGCAAATGTATGGTTCAGAGCCTAACTCTTTTTTATCTCTTGACCTACATATTATGAAATTATATTGATGCATATTATGAAAATGTAATATTATTTGTTAAATTTACTTTTCTCCATATTTGGAGTCGTATCACTATACAGAAAAGGACTTACCTCGATGTTTGTCTTTATAGGACGCAAGTCCAGCAGAGCCCGAGTTCTTCAGAACTCAATCGCTATCAGATTCGTTACCTCAGGTTCATGATATGGTTAATGATGATCATGTAAATATCCCACAAACTCCTCAGGTCTATGACAACATGAACAACCACACTTCTTTAAACACGTCTCCGCCCACCCGATTCCATAATGAAGTCGATAATCACCAGCACCCTCCAAATATTCCATCATACCCAGCATCTGGTTATCCATCCCATGATTTTCATCTACCTCCTACCAGGAATGAACCAGATGTTTCCTCTTATTCTCAGCCATTCCACCACGTACAATCCTACTCACAAGAGCCTCAACAACAGCCTTTGCCTCATAACTATCCTTCTGATGAAACCTCCCAAAATTACTCTTATCCCCATTTTCAATCTTATCCAAGTTTCTCGGAAAGCAGCCTCCCAGTGGCCCCTTCTCACAATCTGAACTATTACCATGGATCCGATTCTTCATACTCTTCTCAAGTGACCCCTCCTCCTGCTAGCTACCCATCAGCTTCCCAATATCATTCAAATGGCAGAGACGGGACAGCGTTGGAACCTCAACCTACCCCGGCTCCAACCAAGTCGTACCATTACGACAGCAACTACCAGCCACCTCCTGAGAAAATCGCTGAGGCACACAAGGCTGCGAGGTTTGCTGTAGGGGCTCTGGCGTTTGATGATGTTTCAATTGCAGTAGAGCACTTGAAGAAATCACTGGAATTGTTGACTAACCCTTCAGCCAATCTGTGATTTTCTGCCTTTCTGATGGACTGACATGTGAGTTTTCTTTTGCCTTTATACCAGGTTTGATGTGTAAATTTAATTAGATTTATGCCCTCAAAACAGATAGCGTATACGACTCCCCCGATCCTTCGGTTGACAATATTATTGAGAAAGTTGATTGATGTTTGTTTTTTTAGTTCAACATGTGCAATGAAATGATTTGAATAAGTTCTAGTTCCTTAGTTCAACCATTTGAGTGCCATTTTAAGGTCATAGATTTTTTTTCTTTTCTTTCTAAAAGGTGTACTCGTTAATCAATGTGGTTGGTATTTAATTATAAGATTACATGCAACAGATAAAGATTAAAATAGAATGAAATACATATAGTCGACCACGAGAATAATTATTGATAATGCTTACTCAGTGCGACCTAACAAAACCCACACAGAACAGCTTCATACACAAAAAGTAATTGTATGGTTACAATATTCAAATGTTTGGTGTGTTGTTCCCCTGTTGTGTTGAGGGTGTGTTGGCAAGCAGATGTTGTGATGAGACTGGATGTTGTGATTGTTGTGATGAGACTGGATGTTGTGATGAGACTGGATGTTGTGATTGTTGTGATGAGACTGGATGTTGTGATGAGACTGGATGATGTGATTGTTGTGATGAGACTGAATGTTGTGATGAGACTGGATGTTGTGATTGTTGTGATGAGACTGGATGTTGTGATGAGACTGGATGTTGTCCTTTTGAACCATCATGATTTATTTCTGAACCATGTTGATGTTTATTTATTGAACCAGCACGTTGATCTTCCTTTGTTGATTCACAAATCCTCGTGGCGTCCTTCTTTTGATCCTTCTTTTCATCAATAAACTCTTTCCAAGTATAAGCCTCAAGAATGAAAGTGATAACTCCCAAAGCTGTAAGAATTCCAATCACTGCCAACTTCCATGTATTCTTGTTGTCCGGTTTCAAAATTCTAATTCCTTCAAATATGTTTATGAATATGAGTGGTAGTAAAGCATATCCTAGAAAATGATGGTAGATGTTCCACAGTTTTCGGAAGTCGTCGGTCTTCCCTGGCTTGAACCTTATAGCCAATGTCTACGATGTAAAGGGATGTTATGATGTTAGTGTTACGAATCAAAATTAAGGAAGATTTTAAAAGAGAAAGAGAAAGAGAGAGAGAAAGAGAACGAGAAAGAGAGAGACTTGTAATGTGGCGAATACGAAAATGATGATGCCGAGGACGTGATGGGTGAAGAAAATGTGGTGAGGGGATGAATGAGCGAGCCATATTCCAATGCCCCAACCGATGGCGCCAATTGAGAATCCTATGGATTGGCAGGATACATGAAAGTAGTACCATCCATCGTTCGTTTGGATTGGGAATTCCCTGAAGAATCTTGCAATTATCACTCCCACTGGCAACATTGTTCCCCACCCTATTATGTTCATTATCCCATGCACCTGACCCAACCAACCAACAAACAAACAGCAATAATTGTTAGGAGGGAATCACGACTCATCCTGAGTACGAGTATAAGTTCTCGTTTGTTTCTTTGAAATGTCTCGTTCCTTACTTATAAACCCATGAATCATTAATCGACCCATCCATACCTACCTGTCTGAGGAAAATCTTGATGAAGGCCATGTCAGAACATTGTCCGGAAACCAAATCAACTGTCTCAAAGCTATCAATATTCTTCAAATCAGAGACATGCTTCTTGGGCACATCCCCATCAGCATCAAATCCACTCTGCCACACAATATGCAGCTTCGAAACATTATAATCCGTAGAAGACAGATTCAGAGTAGCCGTCAAATGATAGTACTCTGTCCTACTATCATATTCAAATCTCAAGCACTTCATCTCCTCCACATCCCTCGGCCGAAGCGGCCCGCATGCCCTCCTCGTCTCGTACCCCACACTATAAGTCTTGCAGTGAGGCGGTCCAGAAGGGTCCTTGATGCCAATGGCGGCTCTGGTCCCCACCATCCGACCCTCGGGCGTAGGGTTCACGCCCCATGCCAACCACCCCTTCTCCTCTCTCACTGGGGCGCCAAACACCACTTCAAACACATGGTGGCAATTCTTCAACAATGGGGCGCTCCAACCCATCTCCGCGCCCAGGGTGGGGAGCCTGAGGCAGCGTGACATGTTCTTGCTCTTGGTGAGCTCGTAGAATTTGGCGGTGCATCGGTGGTAGTGCTGATGGGCGAGGGCTGTGGTTGGGGACAGGACAACGCCAATTACAAACAAAAAGGGGATTGAATAACAAGAATATTGCATGGTGAGTTATGATGATAGGAATGCCTTTGGGTGCTGCGTTTTATATTTATATTTACAAACAATTGGAATATTAGTAAGCTTCGGTATTACCCAAAGCATGCCATCACTTTTGTGGTAAAAGAGATATAATTATATACTTGCTATCTCATCCAAGTTTCTTCTTTTGTGCTCTTTTATTTCCAGAATATATTCTGCAAATTTCTATGCTTTAGGGGGAATCATTCTATTTTGTTTACCCTACAATTTATGATGTTTTCTTTTCCATAATTATTTCAGGACCATTTCATTCACATTTGATATGTTAAATCATGCATTTCAACTTATTCTCACTAGCTATGTTGTAGTAGACCCATGTCTTGTAATTAGATTTTTTTTATATTACATCATACAAGCATGCAAAATAACATTTTCATCATCCACTAGTAATTATATTTTTAGATCAAATTTTGTTAGGAAGAATATTATCATTACTTAATTGTTTGGTGTTTGTTTTAATCTTGAAGTAAGAACAAATTCTATGATCTTAAAGTAATTCCTTATCTAATCATCACATTACTAATTATGGCATGCATATTAGAGAAGTCTATGATGGCTTTGGCACAGTTGAGTATCAATTCACTTTGGTTTGAAAGTTATTTTGATATCATGTTCTTTGGTATAAAAAATTTAGCTTTACCTATCTTTCTTTTATTCTCATCTCTTAGTCATGTTTCTTGGTTCTTTAGTGTTAAACATTTCAAAATTACAATTGATTCATGATCCATATTTTTAAATGGGGATATTCCCTTTTATGATGCCCATTTTTTTTTTGTTGGTCAAAACACACTTGACTTTCGTGTCAAAGCAATGATAAATTTGTTTGACGGTTAAAATATCACTAGTCCAACCACCACTAACCCAATAATTGTATTTGCTCGTTATCTATGTATGTTCGAAGAATAATTTAAGTATTTTAGAAATAAGTCATCTATACAATAAATACTCATCCACCTTACTAAGTTTTCATTCCAAGTAATCTGGAAGAGTGTAGTACCTTCTATAGGGTGTCTTGTAATCTTTTTTTATTGGTCCTAATAAAGAGTGTGAGTGTTCTCACAAAAGAGTTGTGTTCAACAATATGAAATCAAGTAACGTTGGTATAAATTGTTTGATCTCTTGAAATTCTTAGTATGCTGTGTTGTTGCACCTTTATCCGATCTTCCACATCATAAACAATTTCTTGAGATTAATAGTAAGTGAGTTTCTTTATGTCATGAGTAGTTCGTGATACTGCAAGTTCTGTGTTGAAAAAGTTTGTTTAGTATTATTGAGGTTCACCAGCACGATGAGTGATCTCCAAGTCGTTGGAGGAATTAAGAGACTCAATGGCAACAACTACAACACGTGAGCAACATGCATGATGTCTTATCTACCAGGACAAGACCTTTGGGAGGTTATTGACAGAAGGCGAAATTAGGCCGCCAGAGGAGGATCCCAATGACGCCTTTTACAAATGAAGAATCAAAGCAGACAAAACAATATTTTTCTTAAAGACCATAGTCGAAGAAGAGATGTTGGAGCACATTCGGGATGACAAGACACCAAAAGAAGCATAGAACACGTTCGTGATGCTTTTCTTAAAGAAGAACGATACGGAGATACAACTTCTAGAGACGATTTATTATCAATCTCACAACCTAACATGACGATTGCTTTGTTAGGTACAGAGAGAGAAAACTGGAAAGATCACATAAATTGGAACAAATCTCACCTTCTATTGAAGAATGAAATTGGCATAGTATTACAATAAATCAAAAACAAATCAAATTCACTAAATTATGACTAAATCAAATCTAATTCAAATAACTAAATCAAATCTAATCCAAATAACTAGATCAAATCTAAATCAATCCTAACCATTTCTCCCTAAACTAAGAATACAAATAGTAATCAGTTTATATCTACGTCAGAATAGACTCCCAATAGTTCTCTCAACTTCAAGAAAGCATCCAATTTTAGTGGTTTAGTCACCACATCAGCTAACTATTCCTGTGTGCCACAATGCACCAACTCCACAGTTCCAGCCTTTGTGAGCTCTCGAAGGAAATGGAAATGCACATCTATGTGTTTACTCCGACCATGCATTACTGGGTTTTTTGAAAGCTTGATAGTAGAGCTACTATCACAACGAATAATAGTTGACTTGTCTTGATTCTGACCCATTTTTCCTACACCCTTTTTAACCATACTGCCTGGCATGCACATGAAGTTGCAGCTATGAATTCTGCCTCTGTGGAAGATAGGCTTACTATTGGTTGTTTCTTTGATGACCATGACACTGCTCCGGAACTCAATAAGAACACATAGCTTGAAGTACTCTTTCTCTCATCCAAATCTCCAGCGTAATCACTATCTGTGTATGCAACAAAATCATCATCTCCTTTCCGATAGAAAATTTCAAACCCAGTTGTTTCCTTAAAATAACGTAGTACCCTTTTTGCTGCCTGTAAATGAAGCTCAGTGGGATTCTCCATATATCTATTGATCAGACTCACTGCAAACATTATGTCTGGTTGAGTTGCTGTGAGATAATTAAAACTGCCTACGACTTATAGTAGGTTTTGTCCACGTTTATTCCATCTTCATCTTTCATAAGTTTGCATCCAGGGACAATAGGATTATGAACAGAATTACTTTTGTCCATTCCAAACCATTTCAGCACCTCCAAAGCATACTTCTTCTGACTTATAAAAATACCATTAGATTTTTGTAAGACTTCTAGGCCAAGAAAATACCTCATCTTACCAAGATTTGTCGTGTCAAACTCATTTTTTATGGAATTTTTAAACTCGATAAACATTAATTCATCATTTCCAGTAAACATGAGATCATCGACATAGAGACTTACAATTAATACTTTGGCTTCTTTTCCTCTCTTGATGAACAAAGTGTGCTCATAGTCACACTTCTCAAAACATTCCTTCATAAAATAAGCTTCTATACGGGTATACCAAGCACGTGGAGCTTGCTTAAGTCCATAGAGGGCTTTCTTTAACTTGTAAACCTTCTGCTCATGTCCCTTTTGCACATATCCACAGGGTTGCTCCACAAAGACCATTTTCATTGAATTTTCGCTCAAGCCTAGCCTTGTATTTGTCGACTTCCCCATTTTCATTGAATTTTGTCTTATATATCCATTTGACTCCAACCTTCTTTCCGCCCTCAGGTAACTCCATCAATTCCCATGTGTCATTTATGTTTATTGCTTCTATTTCCAAATCCATGGCTTGCCTCCATTTCTCACTCTTCAATGCGTCTTCAAAGTTTACAGGATCAGTAGGGGTAGACATGGCCAAGTGAGCTTCATTATCTTCTTCAGAAAGATCTTCTCCTGTTGCATAGTCTCTCATCCAGACTAGTGGTCTCTTATTCCTTCGAGAGTTTGCTTCAGCCGGAGAAGGAGAGCTTACTTTAGCCAAAGAGCCAGAGGAAATATTTTCCTTTGCAGCTTCTATATCAGATTCGCTCCCTTCTTCGTTTTCATCAAACACATCTGCTGCCTCCTCTTGATCACCCTATTCCAGATCGCACATAATGGATTCTTCATAGGTCTTATCCCAGTCCCAACTCTTATCTTCCTCGAATACAACATCCCTACTTATTATGATCCTATGTGAAGTTGGATCATAGAGTATGTAAGCCTTTGATTCTTCACTAACTCCCAGCAAAACACAACTCAAACTCTTATCATTCAACTTAGTTCTTTTACGGTTAGGCACATGAACATGAGAGATACATCCAAAAACTCTAAAATACTTAACTGAAGGGTTGACTCCACTCCAAGCTTCTTCTAGAGTTTTATTTTTTACAGCCAATGTTGGACTTCGATTCAGTACATGCACAGTCCAGTTAACTGCTTCAGGCCAAAAACTTTTTGGAATTTTCTTTTCTGGAAGCATACTACGAACCATATTCATAATAGTTCTATTTTTCCGTTCCGCAACTCCATTTTGCTGTGGCGTGTATGCAGCTGTCAGTTATCTTTGTACACCATTTACATCATAAAAATTGGTGGATTCTTATGATGTAAACTCTTCTCCTCGATCAGTTTGTAAGGCTTTAATAAATGAGTTTGTTTCCTTCTCGATATGAATCTTAAAGTTTTTAAATACAGCAAAGGCTTCTAATTTTTCTATTAAGAAATAAACCCATGTTTTTCTGCTGAAGTCATATGTGAAAGTAATCAAGTATCTTTTCTTGCTGTTTGAGATGGGTTTGATTGGTCCACAAATATCAGCATGCACCAATTGGAGTATTTTTGAAGCTCGCCATGTGCTCCTTTTTGGAAACGAGTGCCTTTGTTGCTTACCCACCAGACAATTTTTACACAGTTTCAATGGAGACTTGAGCTGTGGTAAACCATCCACCATCTTCTTTCGCTGAAGAGTCTTTAATCCCTTAAAGCCCAAATGTCCACATCTATAGTGCCAAAGTTGCTCAATATCTTCTGTGATTGTATTGAAACAAGTGGATGCTACAGGTTGAGATATAGGATACAGTACGAACATTCGATTCGAGGACATCTTTGTCTTCATGATTAAGTCTCTCTCGGGATGAAAAACCTTGCACATTCCATTTTGAAACAAAAAGGTAAGCCCCTTTGCATGAAATTTACCGATACTCAACAAATTGTTCCTCAGCTCTGGCACATAGAACACTCTTGTGATTATCATTTTGATTCCATTCACTTGCAGCCGTACATTACTCTTTCCGGTTACAACCATGCTTGAGTTGTTGCCCAACTTCACTGAATCTCTGAAACTTCCATCAAAATCTAAAAAATATTCCTTTTTCCCACACATATGATTGTTACATCCCGAGTCAAGGAACCACATATCTTCTCTATTGACCTTATTCATATTCACGTATGTCATCAACGACATCTCTTCTTGAGTCTCTGCATAGTTTGCCTCCTTCTCCTTGCTTTGACATTTCCATTGAAAATGTCCTAGCTTGTGACAATTATAGCACTC